CTATCTTAATTTTAGAATATTTTTGTCACCCTAAAAAGTCTCTTGCCCATCAGCAGTCGCTTCCCATTTTCTCTCAAATTACCTTCTTAGCCCTAGGCAACTACTAATGTACTTTGTGTCTGTAAATTTGCTTATTTTGGATATTTCATATGAATGGAATCATACAATTTGTGGTCTTTTGTGATGGGCTTCTTTCATTTAGCATAATGTTTTCAAGGTTCATCATGTTGTAGAATGCATCAGTACTTCTTTTAATTGCTGACTAACATTTCATTATATGGATATACTATATTTTATCCATTTACCAGTTGATGGAACATTTGTGTTGTTTCTACCTTTTGTCTTTTATGAATAACACTGTTATGAATATTTGTGTCCAAGTTTTTGTGTGGACATATGTTTAATTTCTCTTGGGTGTATACCTAGACGTAGAACTGAGTTTATACCTAGGAGCTGAGTAATATAGTATATGTTTAACCTTTTGAGGAACAGCCAAAGTGGCTGCAGTACTTTACATTCTCTCCAGCAGTGTATAAGGGTTTCTCTTTCTCCACATTTTCATCAACATTTGCTGTTCTCTATCTTTTTTATTATAGCTATTCTGGTAGGTGTGAAATAGCATCTCATTGTGATTTTTTTTTTTTTCAAGTAGGCTTCACTCCCTGCGTGGAGCCCAACAAAGACTTGAACTCATGACCCTGAGATCAAGACCTGAGCTGAGATCAGGAGTCAGATGTTTAACCAGCTGAGCCACCCAGGCACCCCAGCATCTCATTGTGATTTTAATTTTTACTTCTTTTTTTTTTTAAAGTTCTTTTTAATGTTTATTTATTTTTGAGAGAGAGAGAGATAGAATCTGAAGCAGGTTCCAGGCTCTGAGCTGTCTGATGTGGGGCTCAAACCCATGAACCATGAGATTGTGACCTGAGTCGAAGTCAGATGCTTACTGACTGAGCCACCCAGGTGCCTCTTAATTTGTATTTCCCTGGTGGTTTATGGTGTTAATCATCTTTTCATGTGATTTTAGTTATTTTTTTATTTTGGGGGAGAAATGTCTATTTAAAACCTTTGCCCTTTTTCAAATTGGGTTGTATTTTTATTATTGAATTGTAGGAGTTGTTTTTTTTTTTTTTTTAATGTTTTTTTTTTTTTGGGACAGAGAGAGACAGAGCATGAACGGGGGAGGGGCAGAGAGAGAGGGAGACACAGAATCGGAAACAGGCTCCAGGCTCTGAGCCATCAGCCCAGAGCCTGACGCGGGGCTCGAACTCGCGGACCGCGAGATCGTGACCTGGCTGAAGTCGGACGCTTAACCGACTGCGCCACCCAGGCGCCCCAGGAGTTGTTTTTTATATTCTCAGTGTAAGTCCCTTATCAGATACGTGCTTTATAAATATATTTTTTTTCCTGTGGATTGTCTTTTCACTTTCTTGATGGTATCCTTTGAAGCACAAACATTTTTAAACAATTTTAATAAAGACCAAAAGACCAATGTATTATTTCTTTTGTTCCTTATGCATTTGTAGTCATATCTAAGAAGCAATTGCCTAATAAAAGAGCTTCCTCAATGTCACAATAATTTTTTGAAATTATCTTTTCCTGCCTTCTTATTAACCAGGTCTCCGTTAGAATATTGTATGGGTTATGTGAGAACTATGAAGTCAGAATAACTGAATTTGAATATTGGTATTACCACATGATAACTTTGTAACCATTGGGGAGTGGCTTCTTTTTTTTTTTTTTTTTTTTTTTTTAGGAGATAAAAGTTCATTGAATACACTGCAAGGAAGTGGCAGGCAGGATAGCAAAGCACAGACTATTGTCAACCTTTTTTTTTTTTAAGTTTATTTTGTTGGGGGGAGGGGTATAGAAAGAAGGAGAGACTGAATCACAAGCAGGGTCTGCACTGTCAGGGCAGAGCCAAATGTGGGGCTTGATCCCATGAAACTTGAGATGATGACCTAAGCCAAAATCAAGAGTCAGACACACAACTGACTGAGCCACCCAGGCACCCCCAAAGGGAAGTGTCTTCTTTAAGCCTCAGTTTCTTCATCTGAAAAATGGGAATATTACTCGGGTGCCTGGCTAGCTCATTTGGTAGAGCTTGTGAGTCTTGATCTTGCTGTTGTAAGTTCAAGCCCCACATTGGGAGTAGAGCCTACTAAAAAAATTTTTTTTCATGGGACTATTACTTACCTCAAAGGTTGTGTTGAGGATTAAAATGCTTAGCATAGAGGGGCACCTGGGTGGCTCAGTTGGTTGAATGTTCAATTTCGGCTCAAGTCATGATCTTATGGTTCGTGGGTTCAAGGCCCGCATCAGGCTCTCTGCTCTCAGTGCAAAGCCCGCTTTGAATCATCTGTCCTCCTCTCTTTCTGCCCCTCCCTCTCTCTCTCTCTCTAAAAAATAAACATTTGAAAAAAAAATAAAATGCTTAGCATAGAGCCTTACCCATAGAAAGTACTTGATAATTGGTAGCTATTAATACTAGAAATCTTTAAATACAGTTTTTTAAACTATATTTAAAATAAAAAATATTTTACTAGGTAAGTGTTTTTCTTGACTTTGTATCCACAGTAGTAACTTGCTCATGGTAGAGGTTTAATGAATATCTGTTAATTTGATTTATAAAATGTAGCAGCCCATTACATTAAGTGAGCTGTGATGTATTTTTTTTAAAAATGCTTATTTATTTTGAGAGAGAGAGTGCATGAAGGTGTGCACACGTGCAATCAGGGTAGGGGTAGAGAGAGAATCCGAAGCGGGCTCCGACACTGGGCTCAGTCCCATGAACTGTGAGATCATGACCTGAGCCAAAATCAAGAGTTGGAAGCTTAACTGACTGAGCCACTCAGGCTCCCTGAGCTGTGATATATTTGAACTTACTAAGAAACTAAGTAAAAAGAGAAAACTAAAAATAAGTACCACCCGCTTCATTTGTGCGTGGATTAGCCTTTGCAGAAAAGGAAGATGGGAAGATTATATTTCCAAAGACATTTCAAGGGGGAACACTGCTTAATATACAAAAAGCAGGGGGCTAATTTAGAGAGAAAAATGGAAAAGTAAATCCCTGAATGGGAATTTGGTCAGTGGCATAAGACATTTTAGAAGAAATGCCAAAAGAGAAAAATTGTTATGTCAAGAGCAGCAGACTGATTTGGCATGGCTGTTTCCCAAACAATTTGAGATTTGTTCTTGATTGAGACAAGAGTCCTTTGTCTAAAAGCATTCTCTTATCACTTGGTGAGACTGTCATTAGTTCCCTCACCCTTATTAGATAGATGTATGATTAGAGGCCTCAGAACACTCTCTGAGACCTTATGGTAGGGATTTTTGATCCAGAAATTTACTTGTATTTTTTTTATTTGTTTATCTAATAATTTAAGCAAAGTGGTTAGAGTGTACCTCCACTTAACAGTTTCCCATCAGAACCTGTTTAATGATATCCCTTCTTCTACTCCACACTAGATTCTTAACCTCACTTGAATAAAAGAATCACATTTAAATTACTGAACCCATGCACATGATCCAATTTATGTTATCAGTTAATATTTGTAGAATGTATGAAAGTATGCTTAGATGAAACGTAAGTGGTTACATAAATGAAATGGTCTTCCTTCTCTGCTTTCTCTGTACTCTAGTCTTTGTCCAAATTTCACCAGTTCTTCCAAATTGGTTCAAACGACAGTGTATTTTTTTATCAGATAATTTGAGATTTTGGTATAAAGGCCATTTTTCCTACTGTATTATAAGCTCCTGGAAGTCTTGGTCTGTCTCTTGTCTTTATAGCTTCTGTAGCATAATGTTTTGCACAAAGTTGATATGTAAATATAAGTATATTAAATGAATCATGTAACTTAATGTATTTCTGGTGGGAATTTTTGGTATAGAATATTTAAGATGTTACTATTAACTATGAGATATTAACAACAACTGCTCTTCACAGCTTTTCTTGGTATTACTAAAAATTTATTGGTCGCTTCAATATACAGTCTCCCTTTTCTGCCACAGGCTTTTGTCCCTAAACATGGCAAGCTTTAAGCAGATCTCTCTTCTTCCTTATTTTTCTGTCTCTTTGTTCTGTTCCATTTCTCTCTTGCAGCTCTATTTATCTTTTCATTATGACTCATTCTATTTTTTATCATTCCTGCCTCTTGCCCCTTCTTACAATTCCTAATGCTTTTTAGAACTTTGTTTCCTTGTCACCTGCTCTTTCTATTTTTGTTCTTTCTGCTTGGCTTTCTCCTCCACTTGTCGCCACCTTCTCTCCTTGTCCTCAAGATACAGGGCTGGATTGGGTAGGGAGGAGCCCAGCTGGGCTAGGGGTGGAGCCACCAGTTCAGTGTTTAGGGACTCAGAACCTGAGAAGGATCACGCTCGTTAAGCATAGCTGGACTGAAGTCCCTATGGCCTTCCGGCTGGAGGCTAGCATTCTGGAGGACAGTTGGGACTTGGTAAGCCTAGAAGTTGTCCCTTTCCTTTTTTTGCTTCCTGTTTCTTCCTCCTTGTTTTGTATTTCTCACTCACAGTATCTCTTGACTATTAACTTTTTTCTTCCCATTTTTTATTGCTTACTATTCTATTTTCTCTCTGTGTAGCTGTCCATCAACTCTATTTAGTATTTGTTTGCTTTTCCTATTACCCATTCTTTTCGCACATCTAGCTCTTCTCTCTCAAAATTTAACCTTATCTACCTCTTCTCCATTTTGTTCTTTCCTTTGTAGATTTTCTCATCCAGTTCTCTTTACATTTAGTCATTTTGCATCCACCTCTCTATTCTTTTTATCTTACTGGTTCCCAGAGATGGAGCAATAAGAGAGTAAATAAGGAGCCACCCTGCCTTTCCAGGGGCCTTTCTACTCATTCTCAGACCCGTAGGGTATTTTGATAGGCACTGAAGAGTTTGCTCTGCACAGATATTTAATAAACAGTGAAAATGGAGTGAGGTTGAATCTTAAATGTAAAAGACTTAATTTTATTCTCACTTTGTTTTTATTTAGATTTTCTCTGCAATACAGTGGATACAATTTGTTATGGCTACTCTGAGGTAGGTTTATTTAATCTCATGTACTATAACTTTATTGTAAGCAAAACTGTAGAATTCTGAAGTTTTCTACTTTTTCCCCCTAGGTATTTGTTTATACTCTTAAGAGATAAATGCTGTTCTTTACCATGTTGACATTTTCTTAATGTTTTATGTATTTACTTTTTATGAGAGAGAGCGTGCATATGTGTGCATGCAGGGGAGGGGCAGAGAGAGAGTGGGACAGAGGATCCAAAGCGGGCCTACGCTGACAGCAGAGAGAGTGACACTGGGCTTGAACTCACGAACTGTGAGATCACAATCTGAGCCAAAGATGGATGCTCAACCATCTGAGCCCCACAGGTGCCCCACCATGTTGACATTTTCTGATTCATAACATGTAGCGTCAACAACAACAAAAAAAGCAGATTGAGAGATAACATCTGAAAGTCAAAGGACTTAGGATTGATTTGCAAAGTCAGTAGCAAAGTGCTTGCTTTGGCAGCACATGTACTAAGAATTGGAATGAAACAGAAGAGAGTAGCATGGCCCCTACACAAGGATGACACACAAATTCATGAAGCGTTTCATATTTTAGAAAAATGTGCAGCTTATTTTGCACCTATTATATATCAATAAAGCTGTAAAAAATTATTAGCAAAGATGAAGGTGCCCCAGTAGTCCTGTTTTAATGATCACCTTCTATCTGTCAGTGTTATAGGTTCAAGTTCACTTATTGCCTCTGCTGTATTCCAGAATATACAGAAATCTCCTGAGGTGAGCAGTCTCTTTTTGTGGTGGATTTGAACTTTTAGTGACTTAGCCTTTGATGTTCGTTTGTTTTTTTGAGAGAGAAAGAGAGACAGAGCGTGAGTTGGGGAGGGGCAGAGAAAGAGGGAGACACAAACCTGAGGCAGGCTCCAGGCTCTGAGCTGTCAGCACAGAGCCTGATGTGGAGCTGGAACTCACAGACCACAAGATCATGACCTGAGCTGAAGTCTGACGCTTAACCGACTGAGCCATCGACGCACTCCGGGAGTTAAGACTTTGAAATAAATAAGAGAAATGTCACCTGTAAATAATGGAATAATTCTATGAATTACTTGTAAATTTGTCATTATGATACATTGAGATATTTTACTTTTTTAAAAAGTTTTATTTATTTATTTTGAGAGAGAGAGAGAGAGAGAGCCCCCTGCACGTGCAAGTTGGGGAAGGGCAGAGAGAGAGGGAGAGAAAGAGAGAATTCCAAGTAGGTTCTGCACTGTCAGCATCAACACAGCCTCCAAATTCACAAACTGTGAGATCATGACCTGAGCCAAAATCAGGAGTTAGACGCTCAACCGCCTGAGCCACCCATTGATATTTTAGGCACAGTCAATAGTTTTCCCTTTTCTTCTAAGTAATTATTTTTAACTGTAACTGACTGTGGAGAGACTGCCTACTAAATGTGCATTTTTTTTCTTTGCTATGCATTGATTATTAAAGTTAAGGAAACAGAGTGCTGTGTGAAGCCTATATTAACTCTAAGCACAGTAGGGTCCTGTCAAGAGGTGAGTTTTCTGATATTGATATCTTGGTAAAATTGTTAATGGAGCTAGGAAATAGTTCAGAGACTTTGTTGTACAAAAGATACTAGTTTTGCTGTTCAGGCCTTCTAGGAAATTACAATACATCTTATGTAAAATTATTTATACCAAAAAGATCAAGTAAAAAATCTTCCTGTTATTGAGGTACAACTGACAAACAAAAAACCTTCCTGATTGAGAGAGGACTAGGAAGAGTGATGTATTTCCTAGCTACAAACAGATTTTAACAGGGGCGCCTGGGTGGCTCAGTCGGTTGAGCGTCCAACTTCAGCTCAGGTCATGATCTCACGGTTCGTGAATTCGAGCCCCGCGTCGGACTCTGTGCTGACAGCTCAGAGCCTGGAGCCTATTTCAGATTCTGTCTCCCTCTCTCTCTGACCCTCCCCCATTCATGCTCTGTCTTTCTCTGTCTCAAAAATAAAAATAAACGTTAAAAAAAAAAAGATTTTAAGAGAAATGTGAATACTGTTTCTCTACCCAGGCCAAATGGCAGAAAACTAGACAAAATGTAGTTCAGGACATATATGGGAGAGCTTTTGTATGTGGAAAATGTCAGGTTTTATTGGTCCACTTTAATAATCAAAATAGCTTTGTATGTTGAACACTTTCTGAGTTCTAAGCTGGGTGCTTCACAAACTTTATCTTATTGGCCCTCACCACTCTCCCATGAGAATAATGGTAATAGCTCCATTTTACTGATGAAGGAATTGAGGCTCAAAGTTATGAAATAATTTGTTCATGTTTCACAGTAAGTAGAACAGAGATTTTCAAAAGTCCTAACTTTTTTTTTTAAATGTTTGTTTATTTTTGAGAGAGCATGAGTGGGGGAGGGGCACAGAGAGAGGGGGACAGAGAATCCAAAGCGGGCTGCAAACCCAATGCAGGGTTTGAACTTGTGAACCATGATATCATGACCTGAGCCAAAGTTGGATGCTCAACTAACTGAGCCACCCAGGTGCCCCTCAGAATCCCAACTCTTAACTACAGTCCCCTTTCAAAGTAAACATTATGTTTATTATTTATTATATTCTAGACAGATACACCATTTTATTAAAATTTTTTTTTTCAACGTTTATTTATTTTTGGGACAGAGAGAGACAGAGCATGAACGGGGGAGGGGCAGAGAGACAGGGAGACACAGAATCAGAAACAGGCTCCAGGCTCTGAGCCATCAGGCCAGAGCCCGATGCGGGGCTCGAACTCGCGGACCGCGAGATCGTGACCTGGCTGAAGTCGGACGCTTAACCGACTGCGCCACCCAGGCGCCCCCAGATACGCAATTTTAAATACATTTTCCATTCAATCCTTAAAACAACTTTGTGAGGTACATATTACTAATCTGATTTTGTAGTGAGGAAATGGAATCCTAGTAAGGTTGAGGGACTTTACTAAGGTCTTATAGCCAGGAAGTTGTTAAAGCCAGAATTTGAGTACAGGATTGCCTTCTTCCAAAGCCTTTCACCATATATACTTTTTAAACCACTGAAGTATGATACCTAATGAAGATAGAGTTTTAAATTTCAGATGTAGAATGTGACTCTGTAAGTAAAACTAGAAAATCGAAGTCTTGATACTATATTGTCATTGTCTGCCAAAGTAATTTTAGGCCACACATCTTCTCATGATTCAGATTTCCCTAATGTTTCTCTCCTTTGCTGAAATTTGAATTGATATGTGTTTAAATCAATAACGTATTAGTTACATAGTAGAGAGAGCTAAACAGAGATTCTCAGTCTCTGCATTATTGATCTGTTTGGCTGGATGAATATTTTTTATGGGAGGTTGTTCTGCAAATTAGGATGTTTACCAAACTTTACCCACTAGCTAGAAGCTAATCTCCTCCCCCCACCCCTGGGATTGTAAAAACCAAAATATCTTCAAATATTGCCAGATGTCTCCTGGAGGAGGCACAATAGCTCCTGGCTGAGAACCACTGCTCTAAAGGTGACCTCTCACATGATAGTGGGTTGGAGCTTTATAAAGATATGACCTGTAGTTTGGCCTAGGATGTGACCTTTAGTTTCTCTGGCTTTAGTTCTTATACCTTTCACACAACCTGAGCCTAAAGGACTTTAGCAATCACTAGTTCACTGGTTCCCACACATTCTGTTTTCTTGGTGTAGGAAACATTCCAATTTTTCCAGGTTAAGAATGTTAGTCATTTTCCACTGTATTCCTTTATTCTTCACCAAAGAACATTTTTAACAGCATAAAATGAAAGGCTAATATGAAAAAGACAAAAATAGTCTATTAAGTTAAAAACAAATACAGTAAACTGGAAAAATCCATGGGGAATCTTTGAGGGAACTAGCTGATAAAACAGTGACTCAAGAGAGGCAACCTGAAGAGAGAAGAAAGTGGCCCAGGCCAGCCAATGTTAAAAAACACTCAAGGGGCTCCAGGGTGGCTGAGTTGGTTAGGCATCCACACAGGCCCAGTGAGGAGCCCAATGCAGGCCTCGAATTCGCTAACCATGAGATCATGACCCAAGCCAAAATCTAGAGTCAGACGCTTAACTGACTGAGCCACCCAGGCACCCCTAAGGATCACTTTTGATATTGTGTTGATTTCACTTGAATAGAAATATTGGGAAGCAGTTTTAGAAGAGCGTTAATAAGAACTGTTTTAAGTCTTTGATCTCACCAGGGAAAACCTTTCATTCAGAGCATTTCCTCCCCTCTTCACCTCTTATCCTGCTCTTGATTTAATTAGGTTCAAATTAGGCATGTTTTCTTAAAAGAGTTTTTGCTTTCATATTTAGGACTATGTCTTATGCTTTTTTGTGTCTTCTGTATTACCACACATTGTGCTGGTTGTACTTTTCCTTAAACCATGGGTTACACCGTACTTTTCTTTGTATTACCTTTGACATGAAACACAGGCAGGGTGAAATTTTTCTTGATTTCAACAATGGGTACTCAGTTAATTTTTGTTGTTTGTGACTGATTTTATCTCCTGTTACTAGAACTCATGGTTTTGTAATCATGAGTGAAAATACATAAACCTCTTTTTATCCATTTCCCTGCCAAAGACTTGAGGTATGCTTTAATGGCAAACAGTTCTCTCTATATAAGGCTATTTATTGCATCAATAACCATAAATAAAATTACATTCTTGCTCACAAAAGCCTGTTGGCTGCTTTTCTCTTCCAGAGTTTGTGTTCAGTTTTAATTTTTTACCCATTAACAGTTATAAACTTGTGGGAGGTCATGGGCCAGTAGAATCTATGAATGTGCCATCTGGATACAATTTTAGCAGGCTTACCCAGAGCAAAGGCTATATATGGTTAAAATAATAATCACATCTGATATTTATTAAATATAATTTAAAATGTTATTTCACTTGTTTTTGTTTCTGTTTGCCAAAGCAACTTGACCATTTACCTCTCTTTCCAGCGTATTAGTATCTTAGCTTTCCTCTCGTTTGGAAGAGGGTTATGAGAAAAATTCCCTTTTGTACAGCTGAGATTGGTTTTTATATTGAGTAGTATATGATGATAACTTTAAAAAATTTTTAATTTACTTTTTATTTTGATATATATCAGATGTAAATTAGAATTCATAAAACATGTATGTATTGTTTAAAGAATGATTATAACCACTAAGGAGAAGAAATAGAAATTGCCTATACCCCAAAACAAACCTGTGCACCCTACTGGTTATAATTTTCTTCCTCACCTCTGGAGGTAACCACTATCCAGACTTTTGGGATCTTAATTTCTTTGTTTTTATTTACAGTTTTGTCAGTAATGTATGTATTTCTAAACAATTTAGTTCAGCTTGTTTTTCAACTTCTTATAAATGGATTAATACTGTATATGTTTTTTAATATATATATTGTTTTGTGGTTTGCTGTTTTTTGTCAGTATTATTTGTGAGATTTACCCATGTTATGTATAGTTCTGGTTCATTTCATTTTCATTGGTGTTTAGCATTTTGTATTATGAATTTACCACAATTTATGTATCTAGGTTGCTATAAACAATCTTGTATATGTCTTCTGGTGCATACATGCACACATTTATTTACCTAATAATGGAATTGTTTTTACCTAATAATGTAATTGTTGTATTTACCTAGTGTATTTACCTAATAATAGAATTGTTATAGGAGATGCATGTCTCCTAGATAAACCAAACTTTTTCCAAATGGTTCTGCTAGAAGGGTCTTTACCCGGTTGCTTCATGTTTCCATTAATACTTAATATTGTCAGACCTAAAAGATTTTTGCCATGAATATATAATTTTTTTCTTACCGTGAATTTAATTTTCATTTCCTTGATTACTAATGAGGTTAGGCATATTTTCATATATTTATGGCCATTTGGACTTCCTGTTAAGCACCTGTCCAAATCTTTTGCCCATTTTTTTTTATGTATATATTTTTTATTGCTTTCTAAGAGGTTTTGTTTTGTTTTGTTTTTGTTTTTCATATTGTTTTGATGCTGGTCCTTTGTCAGTTTTATGTGTTGCAAATATTTTCTCCCATTTTGTGTCATGTCTTTTCACTTTCTTTTTTTCTTAAGTAGGCTCCACACTAGGCGCCCCTCTTTTTACTTTCTTTATAGTGTCCTTTGATACATTTTTCTTTTTTTTTAATTTTTTTATAACTTTTTTTAACATTTACTTATTTTTGAGACAGAGAGAGAGCATGAACAGCAGAGGGTCAGAGAAAGAGGGAGACACAGAATCTGAAACAGGCTCCAGGCTCTGAGCTGTCAGCACAGAGTCCGATGCGGGGCTCGAACTCACGAACCATGAGATCATGACCTGAGCCGAAGTTAGACACTCAACCGACTGAGCCACCCAGGCGCCCCGATACATTTTTCTTTTTAGCAGGTTGGATTTTTATCCTTTAGAGCCTTTTTGTTTTGTGTAGGAAAACTTTCTGGCCAGAAATTAAAGACATTCTCCTCTGTTATCTAAAAAAATTTTTTTTATGGTTTTTGCCTTTCATATTTAGGTGTTTAATCCAGTTGGAACTTACTTTTTGAGTATGTGAGATAGAAAGTAGGGGTTTGGGGCACCTGGGTGGCTCAGTCATTTAAGTGTCCAACTCTTGATTTCAGCTTAGGTCATGATCTCATGGTTCATGAGTTCAAGCCCTATGTCGGGCTCTATGCTGTCAGTGTGGAGCCTGCTTGGGATTCTCTCTTTCCTTTTCTCTCTCTGCCCCTCCCCTGCTCACGTGCTCACTCTTTCTCTTTCTCAAGAATAAATACATTTAAAAAAAAAAAGAAAGTAGGGGTCCAGTTTTATTTTTATCTATATAGATTCCCAGTTGCTCCAACATCATATTTTGAAAACACTATCCTTTCACCATCTCATGGGGTGTATGGCTGGCTCAGTTGGTAGACTTTGTGACTCTTGATCTCAGGGTTATGAGTTCAAGTCTCTACACCATTGGGTGTAGAGATTACTATAATAATAATAATAATAATAATAATAATAATAATAATGATATAAAAGTGTTTTAAAAAGCTATCTCCATCATGTATCAAAAATCTGCATATATGCTTAGATTTGTTTGAGCTCTGTATTCTGTTCCATTTGTCTATTTGTCTATCCTTGTGCTAGTGCCACAGTATCTGCACTCTAGATTTATATTAAATTTTGACGTGTAGGACAAGTCATCTTTCTCCTTTTTCGTCAAGAATGTCATAGTTATCTTGATAGTTTGTATTTCTGTATCAGATGTAGAGCCAACTTGTCAAGTTCCATGAGAAGATATGTTGAGGTACAGCTGAGATTGCATTTAATCTGTATATCAATTTAGGGAGAACCAACATTTTTGTAATTTTTCCATCTTAAAATCCATGAGCATGGTGTATTTCTTCACTGTTGTAGATCTTCTTTGATGTCTCTCAATGAATATTTTACAATTTTATCTGTAGGAGAACCAAATGTTTTTTTAGAAAAGTGGGAGTAGGGAGGCGAAAAGGGAAAGGATACTAGAAAGTGACACAGAGGGGCACCTAGGTGGCTTTGTTGGTTAAGCATCCGACTTCAGCTAAGGTCATGATCTCTGGTTTGTGGGTTTGAGCCCCACATCAGGCTCTGCACTGACAGCTCAGAGCCTGTAGCCTGCTTCAGATTCTGTGTCTTCCTCTTTCTCTCTGCCCCTCTCCATGTATGTTCTCTCTCTCTTTCTCAAAAATAAATAGATAAAACATTAAAAAAAAGTGACAAAGACAGACTTCACTGAGGGGGACAGAAATTGAGAGACAGCATACACAATTCATACTGGTATTTTTTTCCACTCTGAGTTTTCATTGATGAAATAAGGTGAATAAGGCCTGAGGATCTAATGTGTAGTGTGGTGACTATCGTTGTTATATAATTGAAATTTGCTAAGAGAATAGAACTTAAATGTTCTCACCAAAAAAAAAAAAAAAAAAAAAGGAAATATGTGTGGTGATGGAGATGTTAACTTGGGGAAATGCTTTCACAATGTACACACATATGAACAAAAATCACACTGCATGCTTTAAATATCTTATAATTTTTCAGTAAAGAATAAAACAAATGTAAATTAAACTTAAGATTAAAAAAAAACCCTGTTTTTATTTTCTTTAAGTCCTCAACAATATCCCTAGACACTCAGCTGATGATCTCATTTCCTACTGTTAGAAGATGTTGGCTATACGGGGCGCCTGGGTGGCGCAGTCGGTTAAGCGTCCGACTTCAGCCAGGTCACGATCTCGCGGTCCGTGAGTTCGAGCCCCGCATCAGGCTCTGGGCTGATGGCTCAGAGCCTGGAGCCTGTTTCCGATTCTGTGTCTCCCTCTCTCTCTGCCCCTCCCCCGTTCATGCTCTGTCTCTCTCTGTCCCAAAAAATAAATAAACGTTGAAAAAAAAAATTTAAAAAAAAAAAAAAAAAAGAAGATGTTGGCTATGCAACTAGAGCACTTTTAATTTTCTATTTGTGGTGTGTCTCCATTGCACAATTTTTCATCTGTCCATTCTTTCCTTTCACCCTAAATCTGAGGAAGGAATATGTATTCCTTGCGAGGAAGAAGTTCCCATGCTAATCTATCCATGAGTACTCTGATTCCAGGGCATTTGGGATAGTTGCAATTACAGATTCCTTCCTGCCTGGAGTATTCCTTTACACTCTCCACAGTCAGCCAATGGGCAGAGGCCCCAGATAAATGATGCCCACGTTTCTACTAGAAAGGTGTAATACAAAAATAATTGATTGTTACATGCTCTTGACTACATCATTTATGAAATGAAGCTCTTGTTGCTTTGACAGATAAGACCACTCTTTTATATGAGCTTTTCTGACCTCCTCCTGGGGATATGCCGGCTCATTGAGGCACTTCTCTATGGAACTTCAGCAGCCAATAAGGACATTGTTTGCTATAACCTGCAAGCAGTTGGACAGGTGAGTGGTCCTACACTGTGATTGTATCTTGTAAGACAAGAATACTCATACCTAAATAAAAAGCAAAGATAGTCCCTCTTGGGAAGTAGGACCCCTCTGTTTATTGTTAGACTTTGAAACAATAGCTCTTATTGTTTTCCGTATTAAAAAAAAAAAAAACACTACTTATCATAGAAAATGCGGAAGGGGCGCCTGGGTGGCGCAGTCGGTTAAGCGTCCGACTTCAGCCAGGTCACGATCTCGCGGTCCGTGAGTTCGAGCCCTGCGTCGGGCTCTGGGCTGATGGCTCAGAGCCTGGAGCCTGTTTCCGATTCTGTGTCTCCCTCTCTCTCTGCCCCTCCCCCGTTCATGCTCTGTCTCTCTCTGTCCCAAAAATAAATAAACGTTGAAAAAAAAATTTTTTTAAGAAAATGCGGAAAATTCAGAGAAGCAAAAAGATAATTAAAATCACCCAGACATAATCACTCTTTAATATTTTAGTATAGATCTTTCCAATCTTTTTCTCTGTAGGTATATGCATTTTAAAACAAAAGAAGACATTAATACTTTCTGTAATTTGCTTTTGTTATCCAACATATCCAACATATTGTGAATGTATTTCCATGTAATGAAACATTCTTTAACAGTATCTTTTGAGATTAATGCGTGTTTTTTTATTAAAGGAATAGAGTAAACATTGGCTTTGGGAAATATTACAGATCATGATGTTTGGGTTATAGATCTTTCACAGATTTTATCAGTGGATTAACCCACGCAGTACCATCTGTATATATAATGTTTCTTCTGTATTTCTCAGACTTGCTATATGAAAAAGTAGAGGTTAAAAAGTCTGTACTCATTGCTAGGTATTCCCTTTAGGATTTGTAACTAGAGGGAAAATTTCTTTCAATTTAGTAGGAAATAACATGTAATTGGTGGTATGAAATCCAGGTACTAATGTATGTTAACTATCGCATATGAATTTCAGTGTCATAGAAACATACTTTATTCAATCCTCCTAATACATCATAAATAGAGTAACATTGTATTGTTTCCTCAGATAAGGAAATGATATAGTTTTGGAAGTAAAAAAAATCTGCATAGAATTCATGACCTGAGCCGAAATCAAGAGTCAGCCATTCAACCAACTGAGCCACCCAGCTGCTTCTGAACAACATATATTTAAAGTGTACAATTAGATCTTTTTTATGTATACCCCTGTCAATTCATTACCGTAATCAAGATAACAAACATTTCTATTTTCCATCACCCCCCAAAATCATTTCCAGTGTATTTTCCTTTACCTCATGGAGCATATGAATAATAATAATAGTTGCTTTTTAAAATACTTGTTGGGTATTTCCAGTATCTGGCTCATTTCTGAGTTGGTGTTTATTGATTGTCTTCTCCATGATAATGGGTGACAAATTTCTTGTATGTCAAGTAATTTAGGATTTCATCTTGGACATTGTGAATGCTATTTAGCATAGGCTCTTGTGGTTCAAATCTTAGTCTAGTTCTGTAAACTTTATGCTGGTTTTGGGCTGTCATGTGCATGCACATTGTAGGGGTTAGGTTGAGACTTATATGGCATCATACACAGAATTAGGACATCTGCTTTTCTGGCTCTGTCACTTTTGGGATTCCCCCCACACTTTCCTGCCTGAAGGGGGACCTTCTCTGGTGGCCTAAAAGATAGGTTTCTATTAGAGTTTTAGGTTCTTCATTGAGAAGCATCATGATTGGGGTGCACACTTGAGGAAAAGCTATAAGAAAGCGAGAGAAAAAAAATTTGGAAAGCTCACTTTTGTGAAGTTTACTTCTCCATGTATGACTCCCATGTTTGATTTTGTTTACTTTTCAGAGTCTTCCAGAAGTTGATTTTTATAATTTTCCCAGAGTTTTTGTTTATAATCAATGGGAGGGATGGGCTGTAGAGGGCTAAAACACACTAGCTATTGTGATAAAATATGCATAACATAAAACTTACCATTTTGATCATTAATTTTTTTTAAAAATTGTGGTAAAAAACACAGCATAAAATTTACCATCCTGAACATTTAAAAATGTACAGTTCAGTGGTACATTCACATTGTTGTGTAATATCACCTCCATCCATCTCCTGAAACTTTCGTCATTCCAAACTGAAACTCTCTTTCTAGTGATTCCACTTCTCTCACCAAGCCCCAACCATTTTACTTTCTCTAGTAATTTGACCATTCTAGTTACTTCATATCAGTGAAATCATACAATATTTGTCCTTTTGTGTCTAGCTTATGTCACTTAGCCTAATGTCTTCAGTGCTCATCCATGTTGTAGCATGTGTCAGAATTCCATTACTTTGTAAGGCTGAATAATATGCTGTTGCATGAATGTACCACATTTTATTTATTTATTCATCCATCAGTGGAACCTTGAGTTGCTTCCATCTTTTGGCTATTCTACGTAATGTTCCTGTGAACATGGGTATACAAATACATGTTTCAGTCTTTGCTCTTCTTTTGAGTATGTGAAGTAGAATTGCTGGATCAAATGGTAATTCTATGTTTAATTTTTTGAAGAACCACTGTATTATGGTGTCATCATTTTATAGTTCCACTGCATAACTGTCCTAATTTCTCCACATCCACATTAACACTTGTTTTCTGGTCTTTCTTTCTTTAATAGCCATCCTAATGAGAGTAAAGTGGCATATCATTTTGGTTTTGGTGTGTATTTAAAGATTAGTGATATTAATGATGTTAAATATCTTGTCATGTGCTTATTGGCCATTTATATATCTTCTTTGGAGAAATGTCTGTTTAAGTTCTGTGTCCATTTTTAAAATGGGTTTTTTTTTGTTAAATTATAGGAGTTCTTTATATATAATGAGTATTAACTCTTTATCAAATGTATGATTTGCAAATATTTTCTCCCATTCTCTCATAGGTTGCCTTTTCACTCTGTAGATTGTATCTTTTCATGCGCAGAAAAGTTTAATTTTGATGTAATCCAATTTATTATTTCTTTGGTTCCTGTGCTTTTGATGTTTTATTCAAGAAATCATTACCAAGTCCAGCGTCAGGAAGCTTTTGCCCTATGTCTTCTTCTGGGAGTTTTATAGTTTTACCTGTTAGGTTTAGGTCTTTGATCTATTTTGAATACATCTTCGTATATGGTAAGATGAGGGTACGTCTTCATTCGTGTGCATGTGGAAATGACTGTCCTTTCCACATTAAATCATCTTGCCACTCTGCTTTAAAATCTTTTGATTTACACGTGACAGTTTATTCCAGGCTCTCTATTCAGATTCATTAATTCTGTATGTCTTTTTTTTTTTTAAGTTTATTTATTTTGAGAGAGACAGAGCATGAGTTGGGGAGGGATAGAGAGAGGGAGAGAAAGAGTCCCAAGCAAGATTCAGTGCTGACACTGTTGGCACAGAGCCCAGTGTGGGGCTTGAACTCACAAAGCCATGAGATCATGAGCTGAGCCAAAACCAAGAGTTGGATGCTTAACTGACTGAGCCACCCAGGCACCCCTATATGTTTGTCTTTAAGCCAGTACCACATTGTTCTGATTACTGTCACTTTATACTAAGCTTTGAAATTAGGAAGTGTCAGTCTACCAACTTTGTTCTTGGGGTTCTTGGGTGACTTAGTTAAGTGTCCGATTCTTTATTTCAGCTCAGGTCATGATCTCATAGTCATGAGGCTGGTCATGGAGGCTGCTCAAAATTCTCTCTCTCCCACTTCCTCTCCCCCACTCACACGCACACATATTCTCTCTCTCTCTCAAAGAAAAAAAAGGGGCGCCTGGGTGGCTCAGTCAGTTGAGTGTCTAACTTCGGCTCAGGTCATGATCTCATGGTCTGTGAGTTCGAGCCCCGCGTCGGGCTCTGTGCTGACAGCTCAGAGCCTGGAGTCTGCTTTAGATTCTGTGTCTCCCTCTCTCTCTCACCCTCCCCCGTTCATGCTCTCTCTCTGTCTCAAAAATAAATAAACATTAAAAAAAATTTTTTTTTCAAAGAAAAAAAATGTTAACGATTGTTTTAGCTAAAACAATCTCAGGGCCCCTGCAGTTTACATACAGATTTTAGGATGTATTCTACTGTTCAGTACAATGTTCTATACATGTTGATTATGTCAGGTTGGTTGATAATGTTGTTGAGTCCACTAAATTCTTAGTGATTTTCTTTCTACTTATTGTATTCATTACTGAGTGATAGTGATATTTCTGATAATAATTGTGGGTTTGTCTATTTCTCATTCCAGTTCTATTAATTTTTGCTTCATGTATTTTGAAGTTCTCTTATAGAAGCATAAAAATTTAAGATTTTTATGCTCTCTTAATTAAATGAACCAGATGTCATGATGAAATGACCTTTATCCTTGGTAATAGTCTTTGCTATGAAATCTACTTTTTTTCTGATATGTATGTAGTCATTTCACTTTTCTTTTCAATTATCATTAGTATGGTGTATCTTCTTCCTTGTAAATTATAATTATTTATGTATTTTTATTTAATATACACTTTTTATAGACAGCATATATTTAGTTCTTACTATTTTATCCAGTTCAACAGTGTCTGCCTTTTATTTGTGTTTTTTAGGCCACTTACATTTAATTTGATTTATACTGTTGTGTTTGAATCTATCATTTTGCTGTTTGTTTTCTGTTCGTTGTTCCCTTTTCTTTCTTTTTCTGCCTTTTTTGGATTAATATACTATATTTTATTATTACCTTTTATCTCCTTTATTGGCCTATTAGCTAAAACTTTTTGTTGTGTTACTTTAGTGGTTATGTTACAGGGTTCATAGTACACATTTTAACTTACCATAGTTTAACTTCAAGTGCTATATCTTCTCACATATTGGGTGAGAATCTTACACTAGAATACTTTCATTTCTCCTCTCCTGGCCTTTATGCTATTGTCTCGTATTTTTTTATATGTATATTATAAAGCCCACAATTATAATTATAATATAAATTATTATATTTGCTCAGTTAATTATCATTAGAGATTTAAGTAGTAAGAAAAAA